TTTTTTTTTTTTTTTTTTTTTTTTTTTTTTTTTTTTTTTTTTTTTTTTTTTTTTTTTTTTTTTTTTTTTTTTTTTTTTTTTTTTTTTTTTTTTTTTTTTTTTTTTTTTTTTGTATGCCTTTGTATTTTTTTCATTTCTTGTAAAAAAAAAAAAAAGATACACAAGAATTTGATGAAAACGTAATATTTTAACTAATCATATTTCATCTCAGGTTGCAAGAATTATGGATGTTGAGGGAGATAGTCCATATGACATTTTCGGATTGAACCGAAACCTTTCTATTGAAAATATTAAAAAGAGGTATGGTTTTGAGTTATTAATATACTACAACTCTCCAAAGATAAACGGTATTTCCTAGCTTTTAAGACTTGTATATATCATATTAAGTACTATTGTGATCAACTACTTCAAATTATGTTTAAGGCATTCATATATGAACCTATGATTGTTCCTCAATACGCATCCTTTTTAAATGGCGGTTTTTGTTTCATTCTTAGTTTACTATTTCCAAGCACTAGCTTTAGACAATGACTAGAATTTTGTATTTCAAAAAACTCAAACTAATAGGTTTGGGTAAACTTGATCTTTTTAATATATTCTTAGAACTGTTTAATAATTTATGGTGCATTTTTCTTCAGGTATTGGAAGATGTCACTTTTAGTGCATCCAGACAAATGCTCTCATCCTCAGGCCAACCAAGCTTTTATTAGATTGAATAACGCCTTTAAGGAATTACAAGATCCTGATAAGGTAATTCTTTTCCCCCCAATTGGTTTGAATTTGATTTTGATAATGAGGATTCTTTTAATTGCCCGGTCACTTTTCCTTGTTGAAACCAATATTTAGCTTGTATTTGCAAACTATAATGCTTGTCATGTGAACAGATTTCAAGAGATATAGAATTTTATTCAAAAAAGATAAATTGTAAATGTCAAGTACACTACATTTTTGACATGATGTACAAAAAGAATCTCACCATTTCTTGCATAATATTGATTGGCAATTGTATTCGTGCATGTTTTTGGTCTTCTAACACTGTTTTTTTTTTTTTTTTTAATTCTTCTTGAGTTTTTTTGTTATGGGATTTAGATGGAAAAAAAAAATTCTTATGGATTTGAACTATTCTAGAAATTTGATATTTAAGACAAATGAGGATGTATTGTTCTTTATATGAAAATGTTAAATGTTCTCACAAATATCTGGTTCTCTAAACACAACAAGGAGCTTGGGGTAGGGTAAACAGTTTATCCTCTCCTTTTCTCCTCTTGTCCTTGGTTTCTTAGCCTCCATTCGTCGCTGGAGTTCTTTTCTTTTCATCCGTTCAGTTGAGGTTATTAGTTTTCAGTCCAATTTTTTTAAAATTTTCAGTTGATTGGTATTGCTTAGTATCTTTCTCTCATCATGGAAGTCAAGAGTCGTTGTGTTCGTAATATATTTTTCTGTATTTGGAGAGTAAAGGAAGTAATTTTTGTTGAAGATATCACATTTAAACTATTATTCCCTTTATCCATCTAACATCTCGGTTGGTTCGGGAGTTTTTTGTTAGATCTTTTGCATATGCCATTTTTTTTCTAAATTCCTCAAGAAAGATAGAGATATACTTATGTTTATCTAAGTTTAGGCTTCAACAATGATGGTTTCTTGAGAGTGTTGTTTGGCCTCCCACGGGGGTTGGCAGAGACTGTTCCAGTTTGTCCAAATAATTAAGTATGATTAGTTTTTTGGAAGATAAGGAAATTTTTATTGAAATTTGAAAATAAAGTACTTTCTTCAAAGGAGCATCCACAACAGCAGTTGGTTGATGTAATTCCTGAGGACAAGGTGAATTCTTGTTGATGGTATGCTGAGATAGTAAGGACACATTCAAAGGTTGATGAGGGCAATAACAATTCTGCAGTTTTTTTGAGTAAGCTTCAGATTTCTTTTTCATTTTGGGTCAACAAAGAAAAAGGAATGTAGGAGTTGACTTAGCAAGCTCTTTGTGGTCTCAAGATTTTGTGCGCACAATTTATGGAATGAAATTCATCGAACTCTCGAACATTATTTTGAAGCAATTTTAATCATCAACCCCTTCTTGACTGATAAGGGGCTGTTGAAGTCCACTGGCGATGATTTTGGATTTACCATTGGATGGAAAATGGAAACTAATTTGGGATTATCATTTACAGTTGAAAAATTGATCCAAAGGAAAACATTCTTTATGTAAAGTTATTGAAGGCTATGGTGACCCTTAATCTTCTTGATGGTTTGGCTGCCCGCATTGAAATAAAAAAAAAAACTAATAATAAAATAATAAAAAAAATTAAAAAAATTGTGGTTTTGTAAACACCACGATTATACATCCCTCCGGTAAGTTTCACTCATCAATGAAATTGTCTCTTATAAAAAAAAAATAAAAAAATAAAAAGAAGAAAAAAGAATGAGCAGTGTAATTCCTGCCAGAAGAGAGGTCTTTCTTAATATCTACAAGGGCCATAGAACCCCGTTATCTAAGATAACTGTTGGCCAATATAATATGAGTGGCTAAGGTGTATAGATCTTTGGTGACTTCGGAGATGATTAGAGTTAGGTGATTCCAAGTAATGTTTCAGTTATCTTGATTCAAAGCAGTTGTTTTTGCACTAATTCCATGAAAGTTTAACGGTCATTCGTCCACCTATTTAGTCTTTTAGGAACGGTGTTGTTTCTCCTCAAATAGTCTTTCGGTGCATTTCTTTGTCTTTCTTATTGAAGCTTCCTTTAGGTAGTCAAATTCCGCTTTTATGGAGAGCTGGAATCGATTTGTCATGAACTGGTTATTTACAAAGTAAAATATTTTCCAAAGACGTTTGAGATTTTTCTCCAATACGTACAAGAGCTAATGATGCTTACTCCGCCATATCTAAGAAGTATAAAGTAAAAACTATACCAGAAGATTTGGAAGCAAATTTGGAAGACTTTCCCCAGTTTTCTCAAGTTTCTGAAAATGGTAGCAAAAGTTAATTATAGTCATTTTTTGTATAAGCAGTGTGTTTGTTTTTGTTAGGTTTATTTAAAGTTCTTGTTCATGGTTGCTATATGGTTGTGCATCTGTTTTTTTTTTTCTTTTTTTTCCCCCCTCTCTTTGGGAGTTTGTATCCCTTAAACTTTTATCCTTTTCAGTATATCAATGAAAAATTGTTTCTCGTTAAAAAAAAAAAAAAAACAAATATCTTGTTCCCTAAATGCACAATTGAATAATGAAGGGCCACCACATATAACAATGAAACATGTTTCATAAGCTGATGCAGCCAGATGGCTAATTATTTTCAAGTTTATATTCTCACCTGATCACATTGGTAGTTGCATCTGCTTGACTTGAAAAGTCGACCAGCTTCTGATATATAATGTTTTACTTTGCAGCGGAAGGCACTGGATGACAAAATTAAATTCAAGGAGGAACAGGAGCAATTTAAAGTATTTATTTTGATTCAAGTTCTATGTACGGGTAGGGAAGAAATGGTCAAGTTTGAATTTAATATTTTATACTTTTATAGGTTGAGTTAAGAGGTATGCGTGAGGCTGCAAAATGGAGAAAATCACAAGGTTAGATCATCTGTCTATTCATGTGGCCAATTTTTTCTTGCAAGTTGGGTTTTTCTTTGTTCTTATCCTTCTCTTCTCCTAATTTTAGGCTATTAGATTGTTTTAATGTGGGAACATGAGTTTCTATTCATGCTATAGGGATAAAACTAAACCATCTTAATTGCAGTTGTCACTAAGAATCTGTAAAGAGTGAGCTTGTTTTTTTGTATGCCCTTTATATATTCTTTCATTTGTGTTAATGAAAGCTCAGCATATATATATAACAGAGTCTGTAAAGAGGAGTGATGAAATAATGCAATTGGTGCATTAGTTTCTATCTAGGTTATCTTCTTTTATTTGCTATTCATGTGCATGAAAGGAGAGGGAGGGGTATTGGGCTACTTGAAAAAGGTACAAGGGAAATAGAGATTGCAAGTTTCTTTGTGGGGATGGGAATGGAATTGACCGTAGCCCCATCACCACCCTAGAAATTTTAATTAATTTTTAGTATTTGAAAATTTTACCAATTGCTATAAATGAATATCACATCTAATGAATAAATGTTCAATATAATATTACCAATTTTGCAGCTATTCATTAATAAGATACTGCCATTGTTACATCCCGCATTTTTCAACCCTTATCAATAGGGCTGCAATTAAAGCACAAGAAACAAAACCAATTCAGTTTATATATGCAACTCTCTATACCCTCTGATGTACATTTCAGAAGCTTACAGTATGAAAATACAATTTAGAGTTCTAAGCCACATTGCCTTATCGCCCTTCAACTCCAGTATGCACGTTACACCATTCGTACCTTCTAAAAAAAGAGTAGCACACTTATAATTAGGCACCATCTCACTAAGAATTAGTACAGTGTCCAACTTATATGCCTCCCAATGTGATAACTTAGACTCTCAATCATAGTTTACCATCACAAGAATACTCACTCAACTCTTGAGCCAATCAATACTAAATGAGTCTTACATCAGGTTCTACTCAGCTCCCGTGGGTTCATAGTAAGGTTTTCACTCTCTAATATTATCTCATCTGGCTTTTTCGAGCTTATCTCAATGATCTATTATCACTTGGCCTAACTCAATAGTTGGATTTACATCCTTTAGCTCCTTTGAGCCTATCTCAATCATTGATGTCATTTGACCTGTCTCAATGATGGGTATATGGTGTAGCTCTTCCGAGTTATATCTCAATTATCGATGTCTCATGATCTACTCAACGATTGGTTTTTCATCAACCTTTGAGCTCTCAATGATTGGCTTATGCTATCTTGCTCCATCGAGCTTAGACCATTATTGCCATGTGATCCAGCTCTTTTGAGCATGTCTCCGTGGTTGGATTCACTAGATATCACATGTTTTAGCTATGCTCTTACTACTTCCCTGCTATCGATTCAAGTTGCAAATAGGTGAGGCGTGAACTTTTGGAATAGTATATTCCAATGCTATATATCACCTCTGGCACATCACACAACTTGTCACTAGAGATTAGTTGACAACTTTTTGGCAGTTCTCGTATGTAATAACTATGTGGAGCACAACTCAGCCTGTCAACTATCTCGATATTATGTGGACTTTCGCTCCTCTAAACATTTTTATTGGCAGAGGATAGTTGGAGATCCTCAACAATCCTCACATAAGAATCTGGTGGCACTACATATCATATGTATCTAGGGCATATCTTAGGTTCAACTCTTCCCATATAAATACAAACTCTATCTATCAAGACATTTTACTATTAAAGGTTAACGACACCCTCTAATAGTCCCCGTATTGTACCCCATCAATATAAACATATGGGGAGTAGCCCCGTGCCTTTGCCAGCCACACAATGCTATATAGTCTCATTCTCCACGAGACAAGTTCACTATTAAAGATTGGTTGGCTGACCTCTAATAGATCTCACATAGTAACCTAATAATTGGTCCTATAATCTCCTAATAATAGGGTCTATAATCATGAATTATAGCCTGAGTACTATAATTTGCGTAACTAAAAGCATAACTAAAACCTATCATGCTTTTAAAAGTTTACATGTATACTTTATTCAATCATACCCTAATTTTTACATACATACATGCACTAGTGGGCCTTATCAAGTCAATAGTCAATCGATCTATATATAAACATACATTCAATCTCATAAAACTCTCTCAGTTTAGGAGCACTTCAGTACGCTACCAATAACTAATATGCTTTAATAAATCGATCTCAATTAATTCAAGCATGTTCGAGTCATAAATCTAATAACAAATCTCAAAAAGCTTGCTTCAAATAGGAAACTTTAAACAGCTATTTACATGTCTACTTCAATTTAACGTACTTTAACACACAACAGTTAACATTGACTGGCTATTACAGTCATGTAGATTAGTTGATGAGTTGTGTTTGCTTTCAGTTCATGCACTTTTGCTGTGGATGCTGTACATGAAAAATTGCAATTAGAAGTTCTTTTTTGAGGCTGCATGTCTTTATTTAATCTGGTTGGTGAAACTTCTATGTCTGCAGGAATATCAATGGAGGGTGATGATGAACTCCTTGCGAACATGGATGATGAAGTTAAAGTAGAACCAAAAAGAGATGAATGGATGACAAGCCTACCTCCTGAAAGAAAGGTAAGGCATTCCTTTTTTTTGTGTTTTTTACTCTGTAGGTGTTAATTCTCTTCTGCTTTACTGTTTCAAATAGTCTACACTTTTTCTCAAGTTTGTGTCTCACCATTTTAATACTTGTAATACTTCAGGAAAATAGTGATTTCTTATTAAACCTTGAAAATTTCTGAAAATGGCTGCTGAGCTGATCCATTTCATTTAAGCAAGTATTCCAACTAAATTTTCATTAAAATGGGGAAAAAGTAGTTGTCAATTAGGATTCTTATCTTGGAAAATAGATGAAAGTTAAGTGATTGATATCTTGTTTTGTTAACATTAGCATTCGAAGGTTCAAAATCGTTCTTTTGATGTCTTGTAAACTCAAAACCATTAGTTCTGCAGTATGCTCTAACTTGATGAATGGCAAGGTTGCGTTTTAAACTTCATTTCCTTCTCTTCCAGCCTGGCATGACTATGCAATCTTCTAGATTTAGCAAGGGCTCCAAGGAAGGCCGTGGCGACACTAGTGTTTGGACAGATACACCTTCCGACAGAGCTCAAAAAGCGAAGACAAGGCGAGCATTTGTTACCTTGAAGACTCGAACATTTAGTTCCAAATCTTGTCCATAACAAAATACTAACTAGCGTCGTGTTTGATTGATCAGTTATTTGGAAGCATACAACGAAGCCGCTGCACTTGCTTCAAACGAAGAAGCAAAGAAGAATAGTTCTGAATCCGCTTTAGTCGACAAATATAATCGAGAAAAACGCTCCAAACCGCTCATAGAGAAGCATCGTGAAGGGGCGAGAAGCAGTGGAAAGAAAAAATCAAAGCAGCAGGTGGGAGAGAAAGAAGAAGAGTGGGTGGGAAAACATCCATGGAAGCCTTGGGATCGTGAGAAGGATTTAACTGCTGGTAGGAAGACCATAAATTTCGATCCTGAGAACATGGCTCAAGGCTTGGGCTCCAGGTTTTCTTCAGGAAGCTACCAAAGGAATTTCTTATGAGTTCAATTGCGTTCTTACATTAGCCCGACGGTAGGCAAGTTTCACAAGTGATAATCCAGACTTGTTTTTCTTATTCTCTCCACCACCCTGCAGTCAATAAAATTGTGTGACAAGCGACTAAGTTTACAATAATGTATGGTGGATCTAAAATTAACTTTCTCACCTGTAGGATATCTTGATCCTTTTACTTTATTCCCCTTAAATATATTATAATAGAATGGATTGAAAAAAGAAGTCGTACTCCTGTTTTTTTCATTTTGCCTCTCTTCCTCCAACATTTCCCTAGCTAAAACAAGATATGAAGTAGATTCGATTAGTGTGAATGTTTTGTTGCTTGTCTGAGAGGATATGAGCATTCCTTCCAACCACAAATTTCAGAACAAAGCGTGTAGGAAGTTGCACCACAAAATCTTATTTCCTTTCTTAAAAGGGTGGAAAGAAGGGATAGTTTGAGAAGAGTAAAGATGTCTCTGGGCCCTGAAAGCTTGCTACAAAACATAATCCAAAAAGATGAAGCATAGATACAGTTGCAGAGATGAAATATGAAATATGGAACATGTCAGATATATTACTTAGTAAATGAATTAGATGCATCCCTCCCACTAAAAGAATCCGATAACAAAGTTGAGCAAGAGCTCGTGAACTTATTGCATTCCAGTACCTAAGTATAATAACTCTACAAGTAAATGTCTTAGAGCACAGGGCAAGGAGGACAGCTTCCTGCTTCACTTCACGCATTCTACGTAGCCTGACCACCCTGCAAGCGGAATACACATTCTTGATAACTAAAAACTCACCCAACAGATAAAACACTTTCAGCTTAATATGACTTATTAACAAAAATAAGTAAATTAATTAATTCCCGATGAGAAGTCAACGTTTGTGGCCGCTCAGAGGCTAGGGGTGTACATGGTCCGGGTTGGGTTGGAGGATTTTTTTGACCTAACCCACCCCTCTATTTTCGGGTTGGGTTCGGGTTGGTCCAAAAAAAATTTTAAAAATTTAATTTGTATGACCTAAAATGATAAAACAATTACTGCCTCTAAGTTGTCGATCAAAAATATCAAACTCTCTTTTGCATCCATATTATCACCTATAAATAATATAAAGAATATGCAATTAATCCATTCTAAAGTTAACACATCTCATTAAATTATTACATTCCCAATATATAATCATTCAACAAAACGCCTAAAAATTCACCTATAAATATGTGAAGAATATTCAATGAAGTAATTCAAAAGTTACAACATTCATCCAATCCTCTCTTGTATTTTTAATTCCTACAAAAGAAAAAATAGCATCTTGAGAGTTAGTACCGTTTTAAGATTGTTTGGATAAAGCATAGTGTAACTTCAAATATTTTACTTACATTGAAAAATAATTATTGCATGACGTTGGTGGAACTTGAAGGTCTTAAATCATCTGAAAAATAAAATATAAATGGTGATATAACAATACATAATACATCTTAACAAATAGACAATAAATAGATTTGGAGTTACTTGTTTCAATCTTAGAACAAATCACCAAATCTTCAAGTTATTGAGGAATATCTAACGATACTTATTTTCTACCGATCCAATTTTGTGTACATATCAAATCTTCTACTGTTTTAGGTGTCAAAGAGCTCCTAAAAGAATCAATAATCCTCCCACCTGTACTAAATGCTGATTCAGAAGATACCGTCGACACTGGAACGGTCAAAACATCTTGGGCAATTTTCGATAAAACTCTATACTTAAACTCATTTGTTTTCCACCATGCCAAAACATCAAAATTATCATCAAGTTCTTCACTAGGGTCAGATAAATATCGATCCACATCATTCTTTAACTCGAGTGAATGTTGCTCTTTTCTTCTTCGTTTGTATCTTGATAATACTAATATTGAACCACTCAAATTCTCCTCATCAATTGTGTCCATCTCCATACTCATAGACTTAGAAGTGAGTCTTGATTCAGATTGATGATGATCTTGAGCATTATTATAAAACTTGTAGTAATCCTACAAACGAATTAAATAATTCTTTATGTCATCCACCATCACTTTAGCCAGAGCATCTTCGTAAATATTCGAAAAGCAAAATGATATGTAATCCAATTTGTAACGAAGATCGAGTACCACTGCTATGAATATCAACTTATTAATTCTTTCCACTAAGCCCCAATATTTGTCATATTAACTTTCATATTTGAACTCATGTTACTTAAAACAGAGTTTACATTTGTACTCCAAAGTTCTCAAATACCCCAAAGTTCATGAAAATAAGAATTAGACGTCACATATAAAGAACCACTTATCTTCGCAGTGACATCATAGAAAACCTTCAAAAACTTTACAAACACTGCAACATTTTTCCAATCATCAATGGTCGGTGGCCCTATTCTTTTGTTTCCATGATCCCCTCTTTGAAATAATCAACCTAATCTAATTCTTCCTCCTCTAATACTTTGAAAGCTTTTTCAAATTTCAAGGCATGATCAAGCATCAAATAAGTAGAATTCCATCGAGTCGCCACATCCAAACAAACAAGTGCTTTATATTTAATTTTTTCTTGTTCAACATGATCATTAAATTTTGTCAATCTCTTGGAGGACGATCTAACATACCTCACGGCATTGCGAACACTAGAAATGGAGTCATGCATTTCTTTAAGCCCTTCATTCACAATCAAATTAATTATGTGAGCAGAACAGCTCATGTGTAATATTTCTCCATCTAAGACAAGTGAATTCCAACTTCTAAGCCTTCTCATAATATATGAAATAACTATATCATTGGAACTTGCATTATCAACTATAATAGAGAAAACCTTATCGATTCTCCATTCCAATAAACAACTCTCAATAATCTTGCCAATAGTCTCTCCCTTGTGGTTAGCAACTTGACATAAGTTGAGAATTCTTTTATGCAAATTCCATTCTTAATCAATAAAATGAGCGGTGATTACCGTGTAATTAATATTTTGCAACGAAGTCCGTGTGTCAGTGGTAAGACAAACCCTCTTGGAATGACAGAGGGTCAAACTTAGGACATGCAATACTACAAAACAATTTGAAACCCTCATTCTCTACGAATTTAAATGATAATTCATCCATAATTATCATCTTGGCACATGTTGCTCTACATCTTATTTGACTAAATAATTAAGTAACAATATTACTACCACCCTTTCCATCCATTGAACGTTGAAAACTTAGAGTGGTTTGTCCTTTGTCCTCCACCTTACATGTGTACTTCCTACATTGATTTTTCAAGTGCTTCCATAATGTGCTAGTTCCACAAGAATTAGTATCACAAGCATACTCCTTAGAACAATAGTTGCACTTGCACCTCTTATTATTGTTCTCTAATCTTGTAAAGTGATCACACACGGTTGATTTGCTGGGTTTATTCTTCTTAAATTCAGATTGGGTAGCCAATGGTGGTTTCGATGCATTATAATTACTAGAGTTACTTGCACATATTGTTGCACTATGATTTTCCATCTATAAAAAGTAAAATAGAACTATTATGATTTAAACATTTAACTCAATATGAACAATTATCATAGAATGCATCAAGGTTAAAATATACCATCAGTTTTTGCACGGGATATAACAAAAAGAGAAAAAACGAAAAAACTTACCGGTTCGGCAATTGGAAAAATTGATGGTAAGTAATCGCAAAGATTCCTGCCAGGAGCGTTTTATAGAAACTGCAAAGTCAATAATGTTGCACCACGCCTAGGGAAGTCTGTTTTTGGTTCTTGTTGATTGAGGGTGGGCATGAGGTGAGTGAAGACGAATTCGCATGGAAGGAAGCCCAAAAATCAAAACGCAAGAATTAGCGAACCCAGAAAACAACCCGCCGACACAAAAGAGATAGAGCCACAGAGTTACTCGTCTGTCAGATTCTGATTCCGAACTTTCATCATCATCAGCGGCGGCAACAGAAGTAGTGCTTCTACGGGCATGTTCACATAGGTTTTTACGTTTACACGTTTCGTTTCTATTAGTTGATTGAATATCTTTCTTTGACCATTTGACAAACCATTGGGAGGGAGCAGCATTGACATTTTTAGGATAAGTTTCGCATTTTTATTTTCTTCCAACAACTTCAGTGCGGCGGCAAGAGATTGGTTCATCTTCAGCCTCATCTTCTCCTCCTCGTTCCTTTCCCTGTTCGTCGTCATCGTCTTCTTCCTCTTCAGCTTCAGAATGGTCGAATTCCGTGACTGGGAGGATCGAATACAAAACTGGGAGCCATGGCGACCTTCGCTCTCCAACAAGTTGGTAAATTCGTTATACAGCGGAGGGTTTTAGCGAATGGGTTTAGGGTTATAAAATGAATTTATTTCCGGCGCTGGCGGGAACCAGGACTTTATGTCCTTGGTAATTAATTATTTAATTTCTTAATAATCTAAAAAGTCAAAAACAGTTGTCGGAGAGAGAATATCATATTCAATAATAATATAATGTTTATAGCGCGTGGATAAGATTCGATGTTTTATACTCTTAATATAACCCACTTTTTAAATTTATCATTGAAAAAATTGATATTTCACACCATCATCGTATGTGACTTGATATTAATCTTGAGTGGATTATAAATTTTCTACTTGTAAAGTTTTGTTCTTTGATTTGCATAAGTGAGAATGACTTTTGTAGCAGATTCAATATGTCTATCATTTTGGAGACTTTAGAGTTTGGAACATAATTTTAGAGAAGAATTCACTATTTCAATATAGGGAAAACCGATAATAGTTCCCTTAAATTTTAAATTCAGTTACTAAATTATTCATTAAAAAACAGTGATACTTAAGGTGAAAGATATAAGATAAAACAAACTTTTGACTCAACTGTAATGATTTGTGAATGATTGACTTGCTTTTAATGATTATACATAACTTCTCCTATCGTGGATAACTATCGTGGATAAAAGTGCTAACTCTAGATCTATAGTGAAGTTTATTAAATAAAGAGTTTAATTAATTAATTAATTATGTATCATTAAAACTTAAAATTGGTAGGAATGACTAAGGTGAAGTATCATCCATAAGGTTCCTTTTTTAGCTCATAAAATCAAATAGACCTTATCGATTCCTAAAAATGACTAAGGTGAAGTATGAATTGTGGACTACGTGCTTAGGAGATTGATAAGAAGATCTTCATAGAAAAGCATGCATAAGAGAGCTCACTTAAGAATATGGCGCTACAGCTAGTGCGGTTTACATGTTGACCCAAGTCAATATGTTTCTAGTAGTAGACCTTGCACCCGAGGATCATGAGCTGTTAGAGGTTTAGACTTGTGTACACCCAAAGATTGGTTTAGCCCAATGAGCCAACCCCGAGTGTCCTGGAAACGTGATATGAGATTTAAATCGATTAGACACCCCAAAGAACCTAGTAGACCTCCACAACATTCAAGAATGAGAAAGGTAGTTTTCCTTCCACTCTGGTACAATGTCATTGAGGTAGGCATGAGGATGGAAATGATTTGTGACTTGATGTTTGATGGATTACCCTAAACGGTGGATCCATTATGCGGTAGGCCGTTGATCATCTAGGTGGTCAGTTTGTTACCATGCATGGAGGATCCATCCCCAGGGGAGTGTGAATCATGCAGGTAGCTAGTGGAGCTAACACGTATCGGAGGTAGCACCCCTCAACCCTAGGTGACTTAATGACTTGTGGGATGAATGGTAACATTGGAAATAAGATTAAGTCACCCGTGTAAGACCCAAAAGACCGAGAAAAGAAATTAAAACATTTAAGCAAGACAAAAATCTTACTTCTTATGTAGCTCTCTCTTTATACATTTAATATAGGCATAAAGCTTAAAAAAAAAAAAAAAAAGAGATTTATTATTATTATTATTATTATTATTATTATTATTTTTTCTAATTTCCTCCAAATTCCCATTCAGACCATCGATATATTGAAGGAGCTAGGTCAGGGGAGCGGTTCCCTTTAGTATCCGACGGCCACGGCGACGACAGCAGTTTCTGTGTCTCTCCAACGGCGAGTGGTTTCTTCCAGCCTCCGACGCCACCGGCTTCTGCGATTTCTTTTACTCTCTAACCGCAACGGCGAGCCTGTTTCTGGACGGACTTCTGTTAACATCCGGATACTCTACTCTCCGACGGCAAAAGAAACCGTACGGGATTCTGTTTCCGAACGATTCCGACGGTGAGAGATTTTCTCTCTTCCTCCGTTCCACTACGGCTCCATAGAAACGCAGCTACTGTACGTATCTTTCAAAGCACATTCGCACAAAGTCACAGAAAAATGTGCGCCAACAACAAAGTAATTCATTTGGACAAACAATGAGCCCTACCATTCCTTCTTTATTCTGTAACGGATCCTAATTTCTTATATGGAACCACCGGCCATGGATGAGCAATCAAACGAGGCGCAAGGTCACGGCGGGCCTCCTGTTCCATCTGCGCCGGCCGTGGCGGCGGAAATTCATTCACAATCTCAAGAAGAACGAGGGGAGGTTCACGAAGAAGAGGAGGCTAAGAATGAAGACGATGAATTGATTGCCAGGGCACATAAGTTGATGGAGAAGATCACTTCTTCGCCTGATAACCCCAGCCCTACTGTTCTTCATGCCCTTGCCTCACTTCTTGAGACTCAAGAGTCCAGGTGAGTGTTTCTTGTTAGTTTGATGATTTTAATACGCTTTGTGGACGTATATGTTTCTGAAACTGAATTTGTAATAGTTATGTAACGAGCATGGGAATGGATTCTAGTATGGTGTGCATTGGATGAAATGGTCTTCGTAAGGAAAAGCTTGGCGTTTTTTCATTTTTCTTTTGGTTTTTTGGGTTTCTTTTGTAATTTATTTTATTTTTCTGTGGGGGTGGAAAAGGAGCTTTACGTAATGAGCCGTTGCAGTTTCTATCAATTATGACTTGGGGTTTATAAAAATTTCATAAATGAAGAACTTACGCCAACCCAACCCTTAACTGACATTACTAGTCAATATGGACGACGAACTTCAGATTTTCTGTGGGGGGGCTGTACTTTGGTCGACTTTAGACACAAGAATTGAAATAGTGGTAAGATCAACGGTCTTCAGGATATCAAAAACGTCATGGAGTGGGCCGCATTACCTACTCGGAAAGTTAACTATCACTAAGGTTTCTCAAATATTGGAGTCCATAGTTTGCTAGTATTCCTGGTTTCTAATCCAAAAAGTCGGTGGATTTTTTATTGGATTAGAAACCAGGAATGCTAGCAATAGTTCAAGATCAATTCTAGTTTGACATTTGCTCTAGAGATGGTGAGGTGGGCTTGAATAGAGCTTGTGTTGGCTTGATGAATGTTTGATCGACATTTTTTTTATTCTAAGTTTGCAGTAGCTGACCTCATTTTTAGTAATATATACATCATTAAAATGTATGGAAAACAGTGCCATTTATTTGTTTCAGCTATTATTCATATTTCCTTTACTGTTAGCACGATTCTGTGTATATTTTAAACCTATTTGTTACACACACAATAATGCAGATACATTGCAGAAAATGGTAATTCGTCTAGCAATGGTCGCTTATCTCATAGTATTGGAAGGCTAGGGAATGTAGTCCGGGTAACCTAAATTTTGAGTTATCCTCCTCGTCTTTTAATTTACTTTGGTAGGTTGCTAGGTGATTTAGGAGCAATAATTCATGACGATACTTATTTTGACTTTTTTTCTCCCACTCTGTAGGAGAACGATGAATTTCTTGAATTGATTTCCTCAAAGTTTCTTTCAGACACAAGATACTCAACCTCCATTCAGGCTGCTGCTGCAAGACTTCTTTTATGCTGTTCACTGGCTTGGACGGTACACTGTCTGTCTGTCTGTCTCTCTTTCTCACACACACTCGCACAATCTTCTTTTGATAGCTGCTTGTTGAGTTTACTCAATGCGATATAACCTTTATGTGTTGCAGTATCCTCATGTTTTTGAGGATGACGTCTTGGAAAACATAAGAAAATGGGTGATGGAAGAAGCCGGGAGGATTTCGACCGAAGATCTCACCTGGAAAAATGAATTAGGAGGAAGGGATGTGTCAGATTCTGAAATGTTAAGGACATATTCTACTGGACTACTTGCTATATGCTTGGTTGGGTATGGCAGCAACTCTGTTTGCCATTCACTTTCATGTACTTCTTCATTTTGCAAAACATGTCAATGTTTGTTTTTCTAATTTTTTCAGTGGGAGTCAATTAGTAGAAGATGTTTTCACGGCTAGATTATCTGCAAAACTTATGCGCTTTCTTCGTGTTCATGTTCTTGGAGATGTGAGTCAAAAAGATGGTAATCATTTAATAGAAGCCAAAAATGCGTCTGGAGCTAGTGGCATCAAAGTTAGAGATGAAAATAGAGTGAGGGTACGACAAGTTCTAGAAACATCTCATTTAGATGATTCAAGAACAGCCGAGGAAAGATCTGTAGATGATCAAGGTTTTGATAGGGATCGTGAGAGAGGCCTAAGTAGGCTGGCACCAGCAGAAGAATGTTGGGCTGGTGAAGAGGAACCTGATGGGTTGGCTACAAGGTCTGATGTCTATGAGGTTGATGTAGAAGGCAAAGACAGATGGCATGCTGTAGATTTTCGGGATGAGGGGACAAAATATGGTGAGCTTGATGACAATGTTAGAGATGACTCTACAAGACACAAAATGAGCCGTAGCAGATCTAGAGGGAAAGGAAGAATGACTGAAGGTGCTCTTGAGATTGATCATACCCTGACTTCACCAATATCTGGTAATAGATGGCGAAGTTCTAGAGAAAGGAGTTCGTTTAAAAATCTGGATGTTAAAAAAGTATCTGATGCTGGTAGGACCGCTGGCACGATCAATTGTGATATTTCTTCTATGGAAAGAGATGATAATGATGATTGCTACCAAGAATGCAGAGTTGGATCGAAAGATATTTCTGAGCTTGTAAAGAAAGCTGTTTGTGCTGCAGAAGCTGAAGCAAGAGCAGTCAGTGCACCATTAGAAGCCATAAAAGCAGCAGGTGATTCTGCTGCTGAGTTTGTTAAGAGTGCAGCTTTTGAGGTATATGCTTTCTTTCTCTCTCCATCTTTTGTGTGCACACATGAAATTTTTAGAACTCTTTTGTCCTTTATTTCTGAGTTATATGATTTATCTATTTAGGAATTTAAAACTTTGAATGATGAAGAGGCTGCATTTTTAGCTGCTTCTAGAGCTGCAACTACTGTGATTGATGCTGCAAATGCTACTGAGGTTTCCAGGTTTGTTATTTTTTATTATGCATATGATGTACTGAAGCGGATGCATTGCACTTTCTCATTTCTCATGTGTTCCATTCTGTGGCCTAAAAAATGTGTGGATGGATTGGTACAGGAGCCAGAGCGATTCAAATGTTAGTTCAGCAGATCCAGGTACTACAGGGAAGGAAATGAATGAGCAAACTGAAGATTTTTTCATCCCTGATTTTGACTCCCTCACACAACTGAGAAAGAAATATTGTATTCAATGCCTTGAGATTCTTGGGGAGTATGTTGAAGTACTTGGGCCTGTTTTGCGTGAAAAGGGCATAGATGTATGTCTTACACTACTGCAAAGGAGTTCCAAGCAAAGTGAAACATTGAATGCTGAAATGCTCTTGCCTGATGTGATGAAATTAATCTGTGCTTTGGCAGCTCATCGTAAGTTTGCAGCACTTTTTGTTGACCGAGGGGGCATGCAGAAACTCCTTGCAGTTCCCAGAGTTGCTCTAACATTTTTTGGGCTCTCTTTTTGCTTGTTCACAATTGGTTCCCTCCAGGTTGTTATTGATGCTAAACCTTCTATTTAGCTTCAGCTTTGTATTAATCTTTCATTTTTGTAGACCCATTATTTCATCTCACTTGCAAGGATGTTTTCCCCTCAGGGAATAATGGAACGAGTCTGTGCCCTTCCTTCTGACGTTGTCTATCAGGTGGTTCAATTAGCCATCCAGCTTCTTGAGTGCCCACAAGATCAGGCCAGGAAAAATGCAGCCTTATTTTTTGCTGCTGCTTTTGTGTTCAGAGCTGTTCTTGATGCGTTTGACGCTCAAGATGGCCTACAGAAATTACTGGAGCTGTTGAATGATGCTGCGTCTGTGAGGTCTGGAGTGAACTCTGGGGCTTTAGGCCTATCTGGTACAGGAGCTTTGCAAAATGATCGATCACCAACTGAAGTACTTACATCATCTGGAAAGCAAATAGCTTATCATACATGTGTGGCGTTACGTCAGTATTTCAGAGCTCATCTTCTTTTGCTTGTGGAATCTATTCGTCCTAGTAAAAGTAGTCGAAGTGGTGCTCGAAATGCTTCAAGTGTGAGGGCAGCGTACAAACCACTTGATATTAGTAATGAGGCTATGGATACTGTACTTCTTCTTTTACAGAAGGACCGGAAGCTTGGTGCTGCATTTGTAAGAACTCGTTGGCCTGCTGCTGAAAAGTTCTTAAACTGTAATGGGCATATAACCATGTTGGAGTTGTGCCAGGTACTACTATCTAAAATTATACAATCCTATGTATCCATCTCTCCACACCTTGTTTATTTTTAGTTTTGGTCTTGTAGGCCCCTCCTGTTGATCGTTACTTGCATGATTTACTTCAATATGCATTGGGAGTTCTTCATATTGTAACGTTAGTGCCTAACTGCCGCAAAATGATTGTGAATGCCACATTAAGCAATAATCGTGTTGGTATAGCTGTCATTTTGGATGCAGCAAGTATTGCTAGCTATTTTGTTGACCCAGAGGTAATTGACCAATTTTCAAATATTTTTATTTTACTGCAAATGCTTGAACCAAGCTTTAGAGCAGATAAGTGTTTGAGCTATGAATGGTTTTAGCTTAATACCTAAATATATTTGCACAGATCATTCAGCCGGCTTTGAATGTGTTGATCAATCTTGTTTGTCCCCCACCATCAATCAGCAATAAACCACCTGTTGCGGAGAGTAGAGCTGTTTACATGTCTGGTCAGGGAGATCAGAGAGAGCGCAATGGGGAGTCTAGCATTGTAGATCGAGGCAATACTTCAGTCACTGGTCAGGCTAATAACAATAATTCTCAAAATCAAGTTGCAACACCAACATCAAGGTTGGTTGGGGATCGTCGAATATCTTTAGGTGCAGGAGCAGGCTGCGCCGGTCTTGCTGCACAATTGGAACAAGCATATCGTCAAGCTAGGGAAGCAGTCCGTGCTAACAATGGTATTAAGGTTCTTTTGCATCTTCTTCAGCCAAGGATCTTTCTTCCTCCTGCTGCTCTCGATTGTCTGCGAGCTCTTGCATGTCGGGTCTTGCTTGGTTTAGCCAGAGATGATACAATAGCACACATATTGACAAAACTTCAGGTATGATTTGTGTTCAAGGGCCTTTTGTCAATAGTATATTTGCGTTTCCTATAAAAAAAGAATGTGTATCCAAGACAATAGGAATTTATTGTACAGGATAAATTGGTTCATCGTATCTTTAGATGGTTGGCATTGCAGTAAAACTGTTAACACAGTGGCTTACATGGTATCCAAGCAAAAAATTGACTCATCTGATTGGACACTGAAAAAATTACTTCAGTATATACTTACTACTGTAACCCCATCTTTCTTGTTATACATGGAGATAATTTACATGATTCTTGTTATTACAAGAAAAAAATAAAATAAATAAACGATTCTATAATGCTATATTTTAAAGTCTCGTTACTTTTTTGAACCCTGGTATATCACAAACTGGTTTACAGGTGGGGAAAAAATTATCAGAACTAATTCGAGATTCAGGTAGCCAGATATCAGGAACTGAGCAAGGTAGGTGGCAAGCGGAGCTTTCCCAGGTCGCTATTGAGCTTATTTCAGTGAGTACCTATTATCTCCATACTGTACCGGTGTGCCGGCTTGTATTTTCATTTCTCTTGATTTCATTGAGAGTGAGCACTCCTACCGATTTCTATTATGTATGCCACATTTATATGCATTATGTTTGCCTATGACTTATTAAACTGAATGTTTACAACCTAGCTTTTGAATGGAGATAGGATGTGCATACATCATACAACATAACTTTATATAGCTATGTTAACAACAGGCTATCACAAGTTATTGTTGTTTTACTGCCAAGTGTGCAACTGACCATGATATTCAATAATATGATCAGATAGTGACAAATTCTGGGCGGGCGAGTGCTTTGGCAGCTAGTGATGCTGCTACCCCAACTCTGAGACGGATAGAAAGAGCAGCCATAGCTGCTGCTACACCTATAACTTACCATTCCAGGTAGTTGCTGATTTATTTTGAATGTGGATTCTATGTAGTGGTTATAGAACACCTTATGATTATCCTGGCATTTTATTTTTGAGTTTCTCATATGCTTGAGTATTATCTCAGGGAACTTCTTCTTTTAATTCACGAGCATCTTCAGGCATCTGGATTAAGCAAAGCTGCCTATGCATTGCTGAAAGAAGCCAAGTTGACTCCTTTGCCTCTTTTAGCAGCTCCATCATCTCTTGCATACCAAGTCTCCAAGCTGGAGGCACCCTCTTCCCAGCTGCAATGGCCTTATGGTCGAGTCCCATGTGGATTTCTGACTGATAAACCGAAGTCTGCACGAGAAGAAGATACAAGTTTGAAAGGCAATATTAATATGTCTTGTCCAAGGAAAAAGCCGTTGATCTTCTCAACTCCTTTTGGTACAAATTCAAAGTGTCAGCCTAAATCCCTGGAATCTTCTTCCTCAGCAGTTAGAAAATTGTCTAGAGCTTCAAAACAATCTGCTGTGCCTCTATCTTCAAATGAAACAACCCTTGTCATTGATACGGAGTCTCAATGTAAAACACCCATTATCTTGCCCATGAAGCGGAAGTTGTCCGAGTTGAAGGATACTTGCACCGTATTGTCCTCAAAGCGACTTCACTCTAATGAGCCAGGACTTCATTCTCCTATTTGTCCTACTTCCATTTCCTCTCGCAAAAGTAGTTTAACAGATTTTGGCTTTTCTACCCCAAAAACTACTAACATGAAAGATCAGCTTGGGCGACCAACTCCTGGGGGTTTTTGGACCGATTGTTTGGATGTCCAACACAGTAGTTCCCAAGTTGGTTTGGTTACACCATCGTCGCATCCTGGGAATCTAAATGACCCTCAACCCAGCAATAGTGAGAGACTAACTCTAGATTCCCTTGTTGTTCAGTATCTAAAACACCAGCACCGCCAATGTCCAACGCCGATAACTACTCTTCCTCCATTGTCTCTTTTGCAGCCTCATGTTTGCCCTGAACCAAAACGAAGCCTTGATGCCCCATGGAATGTAACATCTCGTCTTGGTTCACGTGAATTTAGAAGTATATATGGTGGAGTTCATGGCAATCGGAGGGACCGTCAGTTTGTCTACAGCAGATTTAGGCCTTGGCGAACTTGTCGGGATGATGCTAGTGCTCTTTTGACCTGTCTTTCTTTCCTAGGAGACTCAAGAGTTGCCGTGGGCAGCCATGATGGGGAAGTCAAGATCTTCGATTCCAACAACAATAGCATATTAGAGAGTTGCTCCAGCCATCAGTCTCCTTTAACTATAATGGAGTCATATATTTCTGGCGAGACTCAGTTTGTGCTTTCATCTAGCTCTTTAGACGTAAGGTTATGGGATGCATCCTCCATTTCTGGTGGGCCCATGCATTCATTCGAAGGATGCAAGGCTGCCAGGTTTAGCAATGCTGGGAACGTTTTTGCAGCATTGGCATCTGAGCCTGCTCGACGGGAAATACTCTTGTATGATATTCAGACCTGCCAACTAGAATTGAAACTATCTGATACCAATGTCAGTTCTGCAGGTCGAGGGCTTGCTTATTCTCATGTACACTTCAGCCCTTTGGATACAATGTTGCTCTGGAACGGGATCTTATGGGATCGACGGGAACCAGGACCTGTCCATCGCTTTGATCAGTTTACTGATTATGGTGGCGGTGGTTTTCATCCAGCTGGGAATGAGGTCAGCTGAACTGTCTTCCTTCGATTATACGAGCATTTACTATTTAAAAAAAAATCAAACATTTCATGGTGTTTTTTGCTAAAGCTTTTACAAATGAGAAGTGAAATAATTTCAAACAATTCAATGTTTCTGTGACATACTACGTTGTTGGCCTTAGATGTCAATACTACGAGAGGAATTTGTGCCAATATTTTGTGGAAAAGCGTTTTATATGCATGATCCTAATAGATTGCCCCCATTGGATAATAAGCTAATTTGCTCTTGCATCGACTCTTTGGGGTACTGAAATTCGTTGGTAAAACTTGCATTGGACCCTTTCTTTTTCTTGATTTGTTTGGTTACTAATATGGTATATATGCTTTCCAGGTAATTATTAACTCCGAGGTTTGGGATCTACGAAAGCTTAGGCTTCTCCGCAGTGTACCTTCCCTCGACCAAACAGCGATAACATTCAACGCAAGTGGTGATGTAATTTATGCAATCTTGAGGAGAAATCTTGAAGATGTAATGTCAGCTGTTCATACTCGTCGTATCAAACATCCGCTTTTTGCTGCATTTCGGACCATTGATGCAGTGAACTATTCAGATATTGCAACTATCCCACTTGATCGATGTGTCCTAGACTTCACAACAGAGGAAACTGATTCTTTTGTTGGTTTGATCACAATGGATGATCAAGATGAGATGTTTTCTTCTGCACGAGTCTATGAAATTGGTCGACGAAGGCCCACTGATGATGATTCTGACCCCGACGATGCTGAAAGTGAGAGTGAGGAAGATGAAGATGAAGACGATGATGATGATGCGGATGATTTGGATCCAATTTTGGGTCTTGATATTGATGGGGATGGTGTGAGTGATTCTGATATGAGTAATGACGACGATGACGACAGTGTGAGCGATCTTGATGACGAGGATGATGGAGATTTTGTGATGGATGATATTGAGTTTGGTGGGGGTCCTGGAATTTTGGAGATAATGACAGAAGGTGACGATGAAGAAGATGATAGTCAACTTCTGGAATATTTTAGCAGTGGGGACGATGATGATGATGATTTTGTCGGTAACGGATATGGGTTTTAAGCATTACAGGAGAATCAAAACAATGAGGTCAATTTTGGATGTATTTATTTAATTTTTAGGCAATTTTATTTTAACAATTTAGTTTAGATGAAAAAAAAAAAAGAAAAAAAGAAAAAATCAAAATTTTAATCTCTTGGAGGCTGGTTTGAGTTATGGTTTTTCCTGCTTCTTTCAGATTTTTTTTTTTTAATTTTTTAATTTTTTACATTCTTTTCCTTTAGAATAGTGGAATTCGAATCTTCTCCTCTTTTATTTGTAATTAATTAATTGTAAATCAAATTGTATACATAACTTTCTAAATTATTTTACAGAACCTAGTAAGCGATATTTGAATATGAAATTATTATAACATTCTCCAAAAATAAAACTTCCATCATGTTTATGTTTGTTTTTCTTCTTTTATTTTCCATTTATTTTTTATTAATCAATTCAATTTGAGAGTTTGACAACTCCCTTCAAATATAAATTTTGTATTTTGTGAACTAATTTATGTTATTTGTAATTATATTCGTATTTATTGGTTATTGATGGAAAATTATTAAATATTACAAGTAGGTTTGTTATGAAATTTTAATCCATAACGTATGTTTTTGGTATTTAATGTGTTATAAAATATTATTTTATGGGAGCGAACTTTTTTAGAAATAATTACTTGAAATTAAATTTCATTCAATGTAATTGATTTAAATGAAACTTTTCTATCCATTATTTTTTAGTGTGTGTTTTGCAAGATAGGTCAATAGTTGATGGATTCTTGCTTTGTTTACCACACCCAACTTATGCTTTATAATTTGATTGGCTTATAGAGCCATCCCACCATTGCTTTGGTCTTACCACATTATCCAATTGAAAACCACTTTGATTTGAAAGGGAAGACATTGAAGTCTCCTCATAATAGTTCGACTCAACTTATACTAATCTATGTAAGACTATTTTATTGATAAACATGTACGACCCATAAAGAAAAAAAGAGGCTTTATAACACTGAGTTAGGAAAAATAGTGTCAATGTCCTATATCATAAAATAAATTGGATTTATGGACCAAGAAGAAGTTGAATATCTTCTAACTCAAATATTTTACCACTAGATAACCATATATATCATTCTATTTAAAACGAGTTATATTAATTACGTTTTTTTTTTTGGGAAAATTCTATTAAAAGTCCATTTTAAAATTACTTTTTTGAGGTGCTTTTTATATATTAAATTAAAAAAATAAAGCTAAACCCACCTTAAATTATTAATTTTTATATGGGTTATCATAATAATAATAGTAAAAAAAAATCTTTTAATAAAAGTTATTCCAAACCAAGTATAAAACAAGGTTTAAAACCCATTTTGAGTTCAAAAGTGTATCTATTGTGAGCTTTATTTTGTGGATAATGGAGAGTGGGACAAGCGAAGAGTATTTAAACTAAACGTAATAATTTTTTTTAGCTATCTTAAATATAAACATATTCACTTTATTTATATAATATATATTTTTAAAGATGAATAAGATAATGTATACGAAATATGGTAGAGATTTGTGATTCTAAACCGCCCCAAAATGCCCCACTTGCTTTATTAGATTCGTTTGGTGTAATGGTGATAACTGTTGAGGTAATTAATAAGATCCTATTATCCCACTTATGAAGCATACAAAGTGTGGGAATGGCCGGCCCGCCCATGATAACACACAAATTTCATTGCCGACCAAACAAAGAATTTGGGGGGTTGACTTTATCAAAACTTTCAAAGCTTCTTCTTAATGGTCCACTTAATTGCTGAAGCTAAAAAGTCAACTCCCCTTTTACTTTTTGACTTTCTACTTTGTGTACATTTTGGTATTAGGGGTAGCAAAAGCACTAGAGATATTTGTTGATGTAATAATTGTATGGATGAATTTTGAAAATAAATAATAATATAGTATGACGTGGAAAGTTACTCAAATGCCCCTAAGATGAGATTTTGAGATGCATGTTCATTTTAATGCTTTCTGTTGTACTAGAAAGAAGAGTTGGATATTGTAATCTGTTTGGGGTGATTGATAGATGTTATCTCCCCTAAGCAAGCTTGCATTAATGTTTAGATTATGTATTACGTGCTTTCGTTATCAATAAGATGGTGAGGGCTTTGGTTATAACCTCCTCGGTTATATCGTATGTCAGCTCGTTCGAAATTACCTCGCACTCACTGCTCCCTTGTGATGAGGGCTGACAAGTGTACTGTTTTTCGACTTAGTGCGTTTGCGACTATGTTTGCTTTGCTAGGGTGGTACTGGATATCTATGTCGTAATCTTTTACCAGCTCTAACCATCTACGTTATCTCAGGTTCAATTCTTTTTGTGTGAAGAAGTATTTTAGACTTTGATCTGTGTAAATTTGGGTATTTCCTCCATATCAGTAATGTCGCCAAATTTTTAATGCGAACACCACTTCTGCCAACTCTAAATCATGTGTAGGATAGTTTTTCTCGTAATCCTTTAATTGGCGAGACGCGTACGTATCGACGTTGCCGTGTTGCATCAGTACGCAGCCTAGCCCCTTTTTGGATGCATCACTGTAGATCACATACCCTGCAGAGTTTTCTGGGACCGTGAGCACTGAAGCGAACACTAACCTTTGTTTTAGATCTTGAAAGCTGGCCTCACGGGTATCGTCCCATACGAAAGATATGCCTTTTTTTTTTTTGTCAATTGGGTGAGAGGTGAGGCTATCCTAGTGAAGTCTTGGACAAACCTTCGATAGTAACTTGCCAATCCCAAGAAACTTTGTACCTCGGTGACCGTAGTTGGGCGTTTCCATTTCGTGACGGCTTCTATCTTGGTGGGATCTACCAAAATTCCGTCTTTAAACACTATGTGTCCCAAGAACGAAACTTGTTGAAACCAAAATTTGCATTTGGAGAATTTGACATACAACTTGTTCTCTCTTAATATAGCTAGGACTTTTCAAAGGTGCTCTTGGTTTTCTTGGTCTGTTTTCAAGTATATCAGAATGTCGTCTATGAACACGATCACAAACGTGTCTAAGCACTCCTTGAATACTCAGTTCATTAATTCCATGAATACCGCTGTGATGTTGGTGAGGCCAAAGGACATTACTACAAATTCGTAGTGGCCATATCTAGTTCAAAAGGCTGTTTTCGGTATATCTTTGTTTTTTATCTTAATTTGATAGTATCCTGATCGAAAGTCTATTTTAGAAAACACCGTTGCTTCTCGAAGTTGGTCAAATAGGTCCTCGATGCGTGCTAACAAATATTTGTTCTTTACCATCCTCTTGTTTAATTCTCTATAGGCAAATGCATAGATGCATTGAATCTTTTTAATGAACAACATTGGCGCACCCGAGGGGGATACATTAGGTCGAATGAAGCCTTTATCTAATAGGTCTTGTAGTTGTAATTTAAGTTCTTTTAGTTCTGCTGGGGGGCTTTAGAGATGGGTCCCGTTCCTGGTTCAAGTTCTATTCCGAAGTCTACCGCTCACGATGGAGGGATTCCCGGGAGGTCCTCCTGGAAGACATCTAGAAATTCGTTTACTATGGGTATCATACCTATTGTTTTTTCTTTTCCTTTTGTATTTACTACACATACTAGAATCGCCCACCCCCCCTTATTGTACCAGGCGACTGACTTTCATCATCGATATTATTTTTGGGTGGTGCCTGTGAAGGTTCCTTTAAACTTAAAGATAAGTCCGTTTGGAGGTGTGAATACTACTTCTTTCTTATGACAGTCTATGCTAGCAAAGTTTTCGGTTAGCTAGTCCATTCCTAGTATGACGTCGAAATCCACCATATCTACTACTTTTAGGTCTACTTTGAGGGTTCATCCAACTATTACCACTTGTCCGTCTTTTACTCTATTTTCAGTAACTAAGTCTACCCCTGTTGGGATACTAATTGACAATACATGCAATAAGGGTTCTACTATGAACCGACTAATAAATGGAAAAGAAACAAATGAATAGATAGAACCCGAATCAAACAACGTCAATACAAAGTGTCATAGTATAGAAAGAGTACCTGTCACCACGGTGCTAGACGTTCCCGCCTCTCTACTGGTCGTTGCATATGTTGGGAATAAACTTAAATGAAAAAAATGTACTTTTTAATTTTGTTAATTTTAGTAATGTTTTTGAAAAGGCCAAAGAAAAAAAAAATGAAGGGCAAATAATCATTTTAGGAGAGAGTGGGTTATGGGATAACCAATTTTAGTTTTTAGAAAATCTGTAAATTAATTCGTTTTCATTGTAAGGAGGAGAGCAAGAGCAGAGCAACACAATATAATAGAAAAGGGAATAGAAAAGGGATTTTCAGAATTTTTTTTGTCTACTTGTCTCTCCCTTCTAGACATCTTTTTCACAGCTTCATGAGTGTTATTTTGACAAGTTAGTTTCAGAGCAGAGAGAGCGTTTATTTCTACAAATTGGTATCAGAGCGAATTTTACTAGGGGCAGAGCAGGTCGCCTGTCCTAATGTCGAGGTCTCTAGAGTGGCAGTTGGAATTTTGTGGGTCTGGCCTCGATGGGGCGTTTCTTTCCTACGACAACCATTGGCTCTGGGTTTTTCTCCTCTAGAGGTCCTCTAGGACCTTGGCCGCCCTCAGAGCCTCTTCATAAGTTTTCAGGTTAAATGCTTCCAACATGCGGCGGGCCTTCAGGTTCAACCCCAACACAAATTTCTCCATCTATTTTTCTTCAGTGTCTGCTAGTGCAAACCTCTTTAATCTTGTGAATTCCTAATCATACTAATCTACAGTGTGTTCGCCTTGGGTCAAGTGGTTAAATTCTTCTTGTTTTTTTATACGGGTTTTCCTTGGACAGTAGTATTTCAGGAAGGCTTCCTTAAAATGTTTCCCACGTTGTGATCCCCTCTCTCGGGTTGATATTCTGTTTGTTATCCACCCACCTTTGAACTGATGAATTGACGGGGGTCATACCGTCTGAAGTCTTTTAACCAACTCGCCCCCTTGTTCGGTTGCTAATTTTTGGTCGGTTGTGTGGCCACCGCATCGACGGGTTGCGTGGTCGTTGCATTGGCTGGTTGCGCGGCTAACATTGTTTGCATTGTCGTCTGGAGTGACTCCAATGCCAATCATGTGGTGGGGTCCAATCCAGCCTGTGGTGCAGCTTGAGGGGTGGTGCAGCTTGAGGGGCAGTGCGTTTTCAGGAGGGAATGCAGCTTATGGGGGAGGTGCGTTCTCAGATGGTAATTTGAGAGCATAGGGTCCAATAGTCAACCCTTCTTGGGAAGAGGTTCTTTCGGCTTCT